CATCATCCATATGGTTCAAGTTCATCCATATACGCCACAATTGGGATAACTAGTTCACAATGGTTGCTTGAACCCCACGAAGATTTGTTCAATCGACTGTGTGCATGCAGCCTTTAGAATTTTTCACAGATTGGACTTTTTTTTCCTGTGAAATCTTTATGAAACTGAAGGAATGTGACTGCCTTATTTATTTAGAGGAGAATATGACAAATCCTGTGGGCCAAAGGAACACGACCCGTCAGAAAAGGAATTGGATCCCTTTCTACGAATATGATGACTAGTTCAAAGAATCTGAGCCTAAGAAGATAACTGCCCCGTCGACCTTCCAGGCAGCCGAAGGTGCAGGCTAGTTTACAAAGCTAGGAAACTACGATTAGTATACTTGCCGCGTGTAAGACGCTTGCGTATGAACTAAGAACAATGTGCACATCTCCTCGTCCTAGTCGCTCGCTCCAATTTTTATGAATTTGGACCTGCTACTACGGTTCTAGGATGGCGTCAGGGAGGATTCTGCGAGGATTGTGTGACTAGGCCTTTTGCAATAGACAAATTTTGGGACATAGAAGCTTGGAGGCCGGCTTTTGACGACAGGGATGAGCCATTTGCGAGGTGGCAGAAGAGGTCAGCTATCAAGTGACAACATTACTATATAGGTGGCAACAATAATGCGCCTTAAAACCTTATCCTAGGAGTTCACGCACGTCAGGTCGGAAAGGATATCCAATCTGTGTGTCCAGCGGGCAGCCGTTTTGGCTTATCTCCATGACGTTTTTAGAGAAAAAGACGGCCCAGTATGGGTCCAGATTATATATAAAGGAAAAGCTTCATTCATCTCCGTGACGTACGTTCCAGACAACTAATTAACCCCCATAGCGAGAGTTGCTAATCGATGCCGGCATGGCTTAGAGCATCTTCAGCCGTTGGCATCCCAAGAGGCATAAAAATCGTCGCCTGAGGGTGAGCCGGTAGTATAATCGGCTCTGGGCGGTTGGGCACCTAGCCAACGTCCCCAGGTTGCCCTCAGGCGCCGATGTCGGCCCATTTTCGGTGAAAAATGGCCCGACATCGGCGCGAACCGGCCCATATTCGGCGCGGTTGGCGTGAATTCTCAAAATAAATAATTTTTTTATTGCATAGTTCAATCACAGAAAATCAATAGAAATAAAATAGTTCAACACAATAGTTCAACAACAAATAGTTCAATACAAATTATATAATTCAACAAATAAAAACTCATATTTTATCAAATGTTGAGCTAGGCATCACCCTTGATCCTCCATAGGTGCTCCACCAGATCCTGCTGCAGTTGTTGATGCACCTGTGGGTCTCGGATCTCCTGACGCATACTGAGGTAGGCAGTCCAGGTTGCCAGTAGCTGGTGATCAACTTGGGCAAGAGGATCCTGCCTATAGTATGATTCAGTGTCAAACACTGGCTCTTCCTGCTCGCTCCCAATGATCATATTGTGCAAAATGACACAGCAAGTCATGATTTACCACATTTTTCCTTTCGACCAGGTCTGAGCAGGGTGTCGGACAACAACAAATCGAGATTGCAGCACACCAAATGCTCGCTCGACATCCTCCTGCAAGATTCCTGAGCCTTCGCAAAGTGGGACTTCTTGCCTCCTGGCACAACGTTTGAGATAGTCTTCACAAATGTCGATCATCTCGAATAGATGCCATCAGCTAGGTAGTACCCCTTGTTGTACTACCGCCCATTGACCTCGAAGTTCACCAGAGGAGAATGACATTCAACAAGCTTGGCAAAGACAGGGGAGCACTGCAGGACATTGATGTCATTGTGAGTTCCTGGAATCCCAAAGAAAGAGTGCCAAATCCAGAGGTCCTTTGTGGCCACTGCCTCAAGTACCACACTGCAACCATCTTTGGCGCCTTTGTACAACCCCTGCCAAGCAAATGGACAGTTCTTCCATTTATAATGCATGCAGTCGATGCTTCCAAGCATCCCAGGAAATCCTCTTGCTGCATTCTGTGCTAGGATCCGAGCAGTGTCTTCAGCATTGGGTTCTCGCAAGTATTGCAGTCCAAAAACTGCCACCATTGCCCTGCAGAATTTATAGAAACACCCAATGGTCGTGGACTCGGCCATGCGCCCATAGTCGTCAAGTGAATCACCGGGAGCTCCGTATGCAAGCATATTCATAGCTGTCATGCACTTCTGGATTGAGGTGAATCCAAGTGTGCCGGTGCAATCCTTCTTGCACTTGAAGTAGCTGTCAAACTCCCGGATGAAATTCACAATCCTGAGAAAAAGCTTTCGGCTCATCCGATAACGGCGGCGAAATGTTTTCTCGCCATGCAATGGAGCGTCGGCGAAGTAGTCGAAGTAGAGCATGTAGTAGCCTTCCAGACGATGCCGGTTTTTTGCTTTCACCCGCCCCGGCGCCGAGCCACCTCGCTGCGGCTTTTCATTGCTAGCGAGTAGGCCGGCGAGGGCGGCGAGCACCATGGGATGCTCCTGCTCCTGGACGTCGGCTTCGGCTTCCTCCTCCAGCAACGCCGCGAGCGCTTCATCGTCGTCCGATTCCATCGCCGGGCCGGGCAAACAAATCACCAAACACCTTGCGGGCATGGTGGGCACACACCTGCCGGTACACCGCCCCTGCACGGCTGGAACGCCGGAAAAATCGCCCAGACGGTGGTGGAGAGGCTGCCGTGGCGAAACCTCTTCTCTTTTTCGGCGGGGAATGGCCTATCTAGCTATGGTGGGTGGTGGGCGGCACCGGATCGGCAGGGTGGTGGCCGAGAACGGGAGGGGGGGGAGGCGAATCTGGATGGATAGCTTGACTTTTTGCCTGATAGTGTGGCCCTAGGTGTGCTTTCCCTTGCGCCGAAGCCCCGAGCGCCCTCGGTGCGCCGGGTTCGGCCTGCGATCGCCGGGCCCAAAAACGGGCCTAGCCGGTTAAATTCGGCATCTTGGGAGCGCGACTGGGGCGTTTTTTCAGCGCCAGCGCGTAAAAAGGCGCCTGGGGAGGGGGGCTGTTGGGGGCGCGGCTGGAGTTGCTCTTACGTCTCAACTTCTGAATAGGGCATAAGGGCATCTACAACCGCGATGACAAATCCAGCTCCTCAAACGCCCGCAGAGCGGCCGTCCACAGGCATTGTTCGGACACCCCTCAAATAATGCAATCCACATCCGGATACCTTAAATTGAAAACCTCAAATCCATATTATTACATGCAACATGAAACCTAATCTAAGCTGAGCCCATCCAACCCCGCCGTGCCCATGTCCAGCGGCTGGCTGCGTTCCCCAGAGTGTTGCCCCGATGGCCGGCAAGGTAGAATAGGGCATGGGACATGGGCTGGCTCACGGAACTCAAGACACGCCGTCTCCCATGACCTACTCTTCTTCGTCGGAGCCCGGAAGCTTGGCGGTGCCCGTGGATGTCAGATCGATGATGGATCCATCCTGGCATGAGCCGACATCCACAACTACGCGGTTAAGGCGCCCGGACTGCTGCGTGGCGGGAGCACCCGATGTATGAGTACAAAGGCTTGACAGGTCTCGCCATTCGAGATGAAGTCCCATCTCCCATATGCACTTCGTGACCGGGGATCCCCATGATAAATCCATCTTGTATAGATTTTGAGCATACCAGCGATATTTACGTGAAATCCGACTTTGTCTGTAGATTGGCGCACCCCATTACAACAATTTATGCATGGGCACAATATGTCCTCGGCCCTGTTGTTGCGAGAAAAGGCGAAGTTCATAAGTTGACTCATGCCAGCCATGTATTCTGGGGTCAGCTTCAGGTTATCAGTAATCCATCTTTGATCCATTGCCTGGATAACATGTAAAGTAAATAGATCACACCTGAATTTGCTACGATGCTTTTTGGTAAATAGATCACACCTGAAATTATCACTGTTTCACTCTGTGCAATCGCGTCTCACTTGTCCCTGCAGCAGTGCCGCGTCCCCTCGCCGTACCACCCAACCATGGTAACCTCGTCGTGCTGCCCTCTCGCCTCACCGGGGACTTGGTAGTACACGAGGGCCCTAAGACCACGTTCCCAATTCCTTTCTTAGGAGGTACCCAACAATCCCAATTTCAAGTTCCCACTATTGAAAAAGAGATCCTGCTAAATGCATCAGGCAAAAAACAATTACTAGTTAATTTTCAATTTATGTTTACAAAAAAGGACCCACCAACATTTCCTGTGACACTGAAACTCATCGCAGAATATGCACATGCCTAATGACGGCCGAATGCGTCACCTAAACTCAGCCCAGAATGCAAATCTACTGAACCAGAACAATAATGATGACTGAGCTCAAAAGGTCGATCATTACACAAAAATGAATCATTTGGCTCGAAATGCAGCCATGCCATCATTTATAAGCACTTTGGCTAGGATATGCTGCCATGACAGAAAAGAATAAGCCATTTGGCTCATAAATGAGAGAGAATTCCTTATTTAACACCATCTTAAATTTTCTTTCGTATTTGACACTGAAAAAATATTTCTTCCTTATCTAACACAAACTTTGAATTTTGTTCCCAATATGACACTTTCATGCTTTTTTTGCAAATGATGCTAAATGGCACATGAAATGACAATTATGCCCTAGAACATCTAGTTGGTCATTTTCGATATTCCGATGTCTTATTTAAAGGTGGGGTCCACGGTTAGTGTAACGAAATAAGCAAACTACCAACAAGTAGCGCAAGCAAGGCTCAAGCACGTAGTACGTACGTACATACGCGGTTAGAGATGAGCATCAATCGAGCTGCTTGTCTGTTTGTGCGCTAGCTTTCCACTTGTGCTGCGTTTGGGTGAATTGATCTAGTAGCATTCTATTCTAAACTAACACTCCACCACGGGCTCTCGCCCAACATACGGAAGCTCCCGTCCGCTACGCCTTGGCCGCCCCCACCATGCCCACCATGCCCGCCTTGATCAGTTTCACCAGCCAGAACCATCGATCAACTTGTGCAGATTGAGGTCACAACTCGCCGTCTGCTTGAGATCAGTCATGCGGACGTGGACGACCCTGCACAGCGCAGTTCACAGCAGCGAATCCTCGTGTGGCATGCCGACGAGGAAGGCTTGCATCGGTTGGTACTCCGGAGCGACGCTTCCATCCGCATCCTGTGCTGCTCAGTGTTCCCGAGTGTGAGGGATCTTGGGCCCGGTGAAGCCAATGACAGTGAACTTGACCTGACTTAGGTGCTTCTAGTGCCAGGGGTAAACTTGTCATTTCATGTGTCATTTAGCACCGTTAGGTCAAAAAAATGGACATAAGTTGGGAAAAAAAATTTAAAGTTGGTGTTAGATAGGGGAAAAAAATATTTTTCCAGTGTCAAATAGGGAAACCAAATTTAAAACCGTGTTAAATAAGGAATTCTTTCCATAAATGATGCCATGGCGGCATAAATGATTATTTTTCGCTTTCAATGGTTCCTAGGTACTCGCTCTAAGGAAGTGGTCACGAGGGAGACATAAAAGTAGCGTTTCAAACACAGAAAAGTGAGTTATCGTACCCGAGTCAAGGTTTTGGTGTCGTCGAGGTACCACCAATAGTGTCAGAATGGCTAGCACAATGTGGCGAAACCAGTGAATATCCAACTGCAGGTTCATTCGGACGAGCTATGACAGACACTATTTGCAACTGCATCTGCTGTAAGATTAAGATAATTAGTTTATTCAATGCACTAATTATCCAAGTGAAAACCTAATATCAGGCTTGCCGGGTTGGGTGACCGTGGTGTCCTCAACACCTCTTCCTCCTTGGTGGCTTTCCTCGGTGTCTGCCGTTGCAGGCGGAGTTTGCTTTGGTAGCTTATATGAACTGCAATAGTTTTGAATATTTATTTAAACGAGAATGCTAAATTTCTGCCGACTGTCAGTTTACAACAAATCCGCGCGAATCACGCGCCGTTGGATCTGAATCCTACGATTGATCGCGTCTTCCGATCTGTTCTTTCTTGCGTCCACTGTTCCCGCTAATCCCGTGATCTCCACCTCCCACTTATCCCGTTTCTGGTGGTTGCTGGTTTTGATGGAAAAATTGAAAAATAAATAATTTGCGAGTACTAGGACTCGAGCCCACAACCCCTTGAATGTTTCAGCGCACACAAACCAACCCACTAACTAATGTTATTTGTCTTGGTTTTATGCATGTTTCTATTTGAGTTAACTAGTTCGACAAAATGAAATCGTAATTTGCTGGGTTGGGCGAGATTTTCTCCAAATTTAGTGGTTCTTGCCATCTATCCCGAGCATGGTAATATACGCAGCACTTAGCTGGTAACTTAATTAGCTGAAACATGGTAACTTTTTGAGATTGCTATTTTTTGTTGTTGAAAAACACCTTCGGTAACTCATGTGTAAATAACTCGGTATATACATATAGCAGACCTGATAACTTACCGAGCCTAGACGCGATAACTTTCTTGACCCAGGAAAAAAAGTTGTTGAAAAGCATACATCCAGTAATTCATTGAACAACATGGTAATTGTGACCCAAGATTTTTTTCCTCTAAACATACTCTCGATAACTCATGTACATACGAACGCCATGTTAACTTTGGAAAGAAT